TTTATCATGCAGCAGCTTGAGGAAGGCTATCAAAACTGTTATCCTAAGTGGGATTTATGGCCCATAATAGTATAGATTTATAGTAACTATCTGCATCCTCCCTTGTTGTGTGCTTCTTATCACGTGAGATAGCTACATCACACTTTCAATGCTTTTCCTTTATTTTGTAGTTTTTCTGATCTTATCTTTGAGTTAGTTAGAAAATGATGTAAGAGAAGTGTGACTATCCCCTTATATAAAGGATCCTATGTACCTTCCAATTAATTAATCAATGGAGAATAACTTTTAGGTCTCATTTATATTTCAGTTTTTCTCCCTTTTGTTACTTAATATTTACTCTAATTGACAAACATAATCTTCAATTTGAAGTAGAAAGAGAGTGTTGGTTCTGTATGTGGTAGTTCTACTAGGTGTTCTCATAGTAACCTATTTAGTGTCCGTTTGGTTTAGTGGCCGAGAAAGAAAACGCAGCGAAAATTCACGTCGCTGCAGAAGCTTAATTTTGTGGCTTATGAAAATCACGTTGCTGCAGAAGCTTAGTTTTGTGGCTTCTGAAAATCACGGTGGGCAAGGATCTAGACGTGCGTTTGGCTTCTCAAACGTCAAACCAAACACACCCTTAGTCATTATATATGGAAAAAATTACAGTCTAGTAACTCTGATATGACTTAGAGGTAACATGAAACCATGTACAAGGATCCACCAAAAGATTCTTTCTTCAGAAATCATGCATATAGATGATGTCTCCTAACCCACTCTCCTATGTGTATTTCTGACACTTCTAGCATGTAAAACTAACACGTCATTCATTTATACGGTTTTTTCAGAAAAATTTAGTAATCTGGATTTAAATCAAATGCGACTTTAGCACACATAACAATAATACATACAACCAAAACTTCATAACTTGCATACTTCCAAAATAAGATCACAGTAGACGTAATGCTCCCACTGATATTGCAACACCAAGAGATACGGTTTGTTGTGTTATGCAATAAATGATGCTAAGATGTTGAAGTGCCAAAATTGATTGCTTCTAATAGCAAGGAGGGTCTTCTAAATTTAAACACAAACATGCTACAATATGAAACACTTAAAGTCTATATAGATAGAGTAGAACATAAAAAAAAAACTAAACATGTAAGCATGCATAATATAGTAAAAAAACACTGTTATTCCTCAAGTGCCATTCACTATATTGCAATTATTCCTCAAGTTTCTGCGTGCACACTTATTCCTTAAGTTTCTGCATGTACACTTATTCCTCAAATGCCATTCACTATATTGCACTTTGAATGAGTATGCCATATCCGTGCATAAACTGCCATTCACAGCCATCACGTCTTTTTTCCATTCTGCGTGTTCTACAAATTCCAATAGCATAAGTATTGTAATATTCGTGATACGAATAGTCTCCACACCCTTGATATACCCTTTCTTCCACATTGTCCATCACAACATTTTCAATCAAAACTCCATTTTCTCTTTTCTCAATTTATCCATCTGCGACGAAGCCTCTCGCAATCAAGCACATAGATTAAAAGTGGTGCATTATGTCCAATGCGTCTCGCAGCGCATACTTCCGTACCTCTGCAACGAGGTCTTTCCCACGGCATAATAATTCCAGACCGCGTCTCTCGCACAGTTGGCCTGCATGTATTACATTTCTCAAATATAATTCAATATAACAAACAGAACCAATCTGTTTTGTCACACCAGATGTTCTGCCATGGGATAAACATTTTTTTGGATTTACCATCAACAATCAATTCGCGTTCAGGGCTGATTACTTTCTTGCTTACAGTGTTACTATTATCATTTTTTAAATCGAATTTTCCATTTGGTTATATCTGCGCCATAACCGAACACAATACTGTTTTCTGCTAGTTGTGCCAAGTTTCTGCCAATTTGTTCAAGTGAATGGCCAATACAATATAGTAAAACAAATCAAACCCAAATTCTTTCTCAATATATCCACTGTTGAGATATCATATACTTCGCATAAGGACGGTGCATTAATATCATATACTTCCCTTAAGTACGGTGTCATTGTGAAAGAACCAGCTCCATGACAATGCTTTGATATTGTTTAGTAATCTTGTGATATCAAAATTGATATTTCTAAACATAGCATCATTCCTTATTAACCATACACTCCATGTAGTTGCTAGCCAAATCAGTCCCTTAAACTTATAAAAATGACTCCGAAAATCTAACAATAATTTATCATAAAATTCTATTCAAACAAAATAATTTAAAAATAAATAGATTTCAATTAAATATTTAAATTGTTTAAAAATTTAAATTCCTTAATAAAAAATCTAACTACCTCATTCAAACCCATTCTAAATTTTTTTTCAAACACATTATAGTCATTGTTCTAATTACAAATTAGTCTTATTGAGATGCGGGTGTATTCCTATTTCTAGAAGGACCAGACCCTTAGATTTGAAAAAGTTTAGAATAATAAAAAATGATTGGTATACGGTTCAGGGGTGCTATGTGTTTTGCAACGTTATAGAAAGAATTTTGAGATATTTTCGAACTCTTCCTCACAAGTTACATGTTCAAAACATGTGGCATAACTACAACCACGTGGCACTAAAAGCATAAAAGCATAAATATCAGTGGCACTGCTTTTTGTCATTTCCACCAAACTTCCGACCTATTTATACCCACAAAACCTTGTCAAACAACCCAGTGCAATATGTCTGCAATGAATATTTTCATCCTCTTGTTTGTAAGCCTCGTTTCTTATCCTGCCCTACCAGTTACTGATAAGGTAACTAGCTTACCCGAGCAACCACCGGTGCAGTTCAAGCAACACTCGGGATACATAACCGTTAATGTTTCCCACCACCGGAACCTCTTCTACTATTTCGTAGAAGCTGAAGTTGATCCACCGTCAAAACCAGTTGTACTATGGTTACATGGTGGTGAGTAATGTGATTAATATATATATATATATATATATATATATATATATATATATATATATATATATATATATATATATATATATATATATATATATATATATATATATATATATATATATATATATATATATATATATATATATATATATATATATATATATATATATATATATATATATATTGCAAACTTAATTTTTCTTAAGTTTCTGCCAATTTGTTCAAGTGAATGGCCAATACAATATAGTAAAACAAATCAAAACCAAATTCTTTCTCAATATATCCACTGCTGAGATATCATATACTTCGCATAAGGACGGTGCATTGATATCATATACTTCGCTTAAGTACGATGTCATTGTGAAAGAACCAGCTCCATGACAATGCTTTGATATTGTTTAGTAATCTTGTGATATCAAAATTGATATTTCTAAACATAGCATCATTCCTTATTAACCATACACTCCATGTAGTTGCTAGCCAAATCAGTCCCTTAAACTTATAAAAATGACTCCGAAAATCTAACAATAATTTATCATAAAATTCTATTCAAACAAAATAATTTAAAAATAAATAGATTTCAATTAAATATTTAAATTGTTTAAAAATTTAAATTCCTTAATAAAAAATCTAACTACCTCATTCAAACCCATTCTAAATTTTTTTTCAAACACATTATAGTCATTGTTCTAATTACAAATTAGTCTTATTGAGATGCGGGTGTATTCCTATTTCTAGAAGGACCAGACCCTTAGATTTGAAAAAGTTTAGAATGATAAAAAATGATTGGTATACGGTTCAGGGGTGCTATGTGTTTTGCAACGTTATAGAAAGAATTTTGAGATATTTTCGAACTCTTCCTCACAAGTTACATGTTCAAAACATGTGGCATAACTACAACCACGTGGCACTAAAAGCATAAAAGCATAAATATCAGTGGCACTGCTTTTTGTCATTTCCACCAAACTTCCGACCTATTTATACCCACAAAACCTTGTCAAACAACCCAGTGCAATATGTCTGCAATGAATATTTTCATCCTCTTGTTTGTAAGCCTCGTTTCTTATCCTGCCCTACCAGTTACTGATAAGGTAACTAGCTTACCCGAGCAACCACCGGTGCAGTTCAAGCAACACTCGGGATACATAACCGTTAATGTTTCCCACCACCGGAACCTCTTCTACTATTTCGTAGAAGCTGAAGTTGATCCACCGTCAAAATCAGTTGTACTATGGTTACATGGTGGTGAGTAATGTGATTAATATATATATATATATATATATATATATATATATATATATATATATAATATATGCAAACTTAATTTTTCTTAAGTTTCTGCCAATTTGTTCAAGTGAATGGCCAATACAATATAGTAAAACAAATCAAACCCAAATTCTTTCTCAATATATCCACTGCTGAGATATCATATACTTCGCATAAGGACGGTGCATTGATATCA